GTACACATAAAGTTAGTGAACAAGAAACTCATTTGTTAGTGAAAAATATTTGTTTTTTTCAGAGTAAGAAAATTATTTGAGAGAAAATAAGCTTCTGTCTAAGAAGGACTGAACAGTGTCCAGAAAGTGTGTCATCCAACAATTGTGCTTCTCAGGGTTGTTTGTTTGAGCAAAGGCATGAGGGGAGATGGGCTTAAGGTGGGACGAAAAGATGGCCAATCCATAGGATTAAAAGTATAGTTGTTTAGGTAATAATGGTCCAATGGCAAGTCACAGGATGGGTGTGACAAGAGACAAAACCATGGTGACCCAACAAGCATGCAAGTGCACTCATTGGGTAGTAGTGATCAAATGGGGATCGAATGGGTAAGCCAGGTGTGTAGCCGTCACAGCTGGACAGACATGGACATTCCTGGAAGGGGCGGGGAGAGGAGGTTTGGTCCTTTGTCCAAGGTCACTGATGCCTATTTAGAAAATCAATCACACACACACAAAAGAGAACATCACTCACTGCTGTTCATCCCTAAGGAGGTGTACAGATCAACAGTTCTTTTTCTTACAGCCTGGCCTTTAGTGACTACGCCTCCAATCACCGTTGTCTTTCCTTCAACTTCAAGAGGCCCGGCTCTGAGTGACTGTCTATAATACTGCTAAATAGCTTAGCTCTGTATACTACTCCCCCTCTGAAGAAGGACCCCTAACTGCACCTTTGCCCTCTGCTGGCTTTTTCAAGTGGCACTTTCAACCTGGACCATGCAACCTGCAAAACAGGAAATGTGACAGTTTATCTGAGAAATGCATCCCACTCTCCACTTGACTCAGAAATGCATCATTCATTCATTCATTCATTCATTCATTCATTCATTCATTCATTCATTCAGCATCTAGGAGGACAGTACAGAAAACAAAATAGTTTGTCTGCTTGGAGTGCATACTGTGGGTAGGGAGACAAACAGTAAACAAGAGGATATATTCTGGTGTCCAATGCTACAGATGAAATAGATGCCATGCTAGTGGCCAGATGGTTGAAGTTTTTGCAAATTTACTTCTTTGTAGGTGTGAAAGGAATCCCATTCTCCCCAGAAACAGCACTTGTATTTTGTGGAATTTGAATAAGCTCAGTGGTGTGTAGACTTTGGAATATCCCAAAGTATAGG